GGGAGTTTTTTTGCTAGAAAATTACTGAGAACAACCAAACATTATATATTTTTTAAAGCAGAAGCCCTAGAGCATAAAATGGTGGGTGTTGCAATTTTACATGTCACATGGTCACATGTGCAGCAGTTTTTCAAATGCAATTTTTTGGGAAAAAACACACTTTTTTTGCATTTTAATGCACAAAAAAACAATATGATACCCAATTGTTAGGAAAACTATAAAAGATGATTTCACCCCGTGTAAATAGATACTAAACATGTCATGCATTAAAATTGCACACGCCCATGCAACCGCGACAAACTACGTAAATGTTATTATCCATAGGAGACACTTTAAAAGCCTTTTTTAGATTTACACAGGAATTACTGCCCTTGATCTGATGTTCATGGTGATACCTCATATGTATGGCACGATCACTATTTATGTACTGACACAATTTAAAAAAAATGTTTTTTCATTTTTATTTTTACACTGCCCCTTTACATGTTTTTTGATCACTTTTATTGTTATCACAGGTGATGTAAGATACCACCTGTGACAGCAATAGGCAGTGACAGGTCCTCTTTACTGAGAAATCTGGGGTGTATTAGGTTTCTTTGACTATAGAGATGAATAGAGCCGTTACAGTCTCCAGTCAGCTCTATGGTCAGCCAACGGAACTGCTGGCTGCAGTCTCACATTCTTGGGCTGCTTGTAAAAGCAATTCAGCAGGTAATTTGCCACTAGGATTTATTTACAAGAAAGTCAACCACAGACTGAATAAAATAGCAGCTGCAGGCATCATCCCAGTATAATCACTCATAGTCCAGCAACGTACCAGTACGTCACTGGTCCTTACGTGGATATAGTTATAAGGGTTGCCTAGGCTGGCCTCCTAGAAATGCTAGTTGCCTGGCTGTGCCTGAGTTCAATACTTTTGTCACAGTCCTGGAACAAGTATGATGTAAATGGGAATCAGAAAAGTGTCAGAATTCCTAATTTCCCAGTTCAGTAACTTGGAAAGTCTTGCAGAAAAACACTTCAATAAGACAGCAAGACAACTATCATTCTCAAATGGAAGGGCAAAAATGGTAGCCTACATAATCCTCTACACGTTACATAAGTTTTAGCTTCAGATCTCCTGTACACCTGCCATCCTAACATTTATGCTACAAGTCCTTTAATTAATGTTGTGCCTAGGGGCGGACTGACAACTCATGGGGCCCCCGGGCAATAGGGGATCATGGGGCCCCGTGTGTCCTTGCCCAAACTCAAAAAAGCCTATGAAAAAGGTACCAGGGGCATCTCATGGGGCCCCCTACTGACCCCGAGCCCTCGGACAGTGCCTGAATTTCCAAATGGTCAGTCCACCCCTGGTTGTGCCTACAGCACAGCAAACTTAGTAAATTTCAGTTCATGATAACTTTATCTCAATAAAATGACACAGCAATATGGCTGTGTGCCAGACCAAGTATATGTATCTGCCAATCAGCTACTGACCCAATCACTCATTGAGGTCACTATGGGTGGTTGGGGCAGAAAAATTTAAATTTGTAAGGGGTCTTAAAGACCTGTTTGCCAGTTTGCTAGCAATCTGCAGAAAATAATGCACCCAAGACACAAATCTTGACCCCCTCCCACCCCATCTCAAGTCTTCATATTGGTGTATAAATGTGATGGGCAGCATCAGTGACCAAAAGAAGACTTAGAGATGAGATTACGTTCAACTGCAGGAAATGCCCACACCTGCATACAACTTCAGATGCCTATATCTTTGGATATACTGATCATTTTGACAATTGATGTTTAAATTAAAGGTGACCTCCAATTACCCAGGTTTGTAACAGGTTAGCTTTCAAGATCTGTAATAATGCTACAGGCAGTACATCATCTTCATCATCTTGGTCCAAGCTGGACCAATGTAACTATGTCAAAATTGCCATACTCAGACTTCAGCATTAAAATAAATGCAGTTAAAAATGTTTGTAACATAGCCAAATTTTTTTTTTTTTTAAATTTTGTCCAGGTTGGTAGGAAAAATAAAAACAAAACATGAGATGGGTATTTATTAAAATAGTATACCAAATATAAATCTCATATGCCTCAAAATGGAATTATTTAAGTTAGCTAATTAGTGAAAGGGTTTTTGCCAAGATAACCAAAGTCACTATATTCGGTCTAGGCATCTAGACTTGAATAATTTCTGGGGATGAAAGATGGTATAAAGTAAAGCAAACCAACTGGTGTCAGCCCAGTGCAAAATGTATTCAGAATGTCCGCTATTGGTTGCAGTACTTTGCTTTTAGTGCTTTGCTCCTTGCACCGCTTTTTAAAATAAACCCACACAGATTAAATTGGCTGTTTTTAATGATTCCATAGCTGTTCTGCCTTGAATGTCAGATGAATGTTTGGCAGATTGCCAGGGTCATTCTGCATAGAAGTAAATGATTACTGACTACCAAATGCAGCTGAAAGCCAAATAAGAATGCAATGACTGCCACGGGGGAAGGCAAAGCCAAGATCTCACTACTGGCACCTAGAAGAGACATCAACACTGTGAGCTCTAACACTGCCGAGTACCGAGCCATCATGTTGTGGCTAACCCAGCAGAACTTCCTCTGCTACTTTCTGCTATAAATGAAGAATGCATAGAGTGTATTCTTGTAGAACAAGGGTCAGATTATGTGAAAAAAAAAAAAATCTAAATTTCCAGGTTTATTTTATACAGCTGTTTGTTAAAGATGAAATGTTTCATTTGTGTAAATTTAACTTCCTCTATAAATTATAGAATTCCTTATAATACTTTAAAAAAAATTACAATATTACTTGTCTATTATTACTATTTAAGAACCTAAAGTGAACCTGCACTCTGTTTCAGGGATTATGCCATTATGTGCTAGAATGGACAGCATATTAACGCATTATGGCAGACTTACCTGTCAAAGCCCTCCAGCGCTGTGGTGTCAGCTCTCCAGCTGGTCCCAGATGCTTCCATCTTCTCCTGATCTTCTTTCCGAGTTCCATCTGTTTGACCACTTGAATGGCCAGGCTGCAATGACATCACTTCCACCTGTGCATACAGGAGCAGGGGCGGACTGACAACTCATGGGGCCCCCGGGAAATAGGGGATCATGGGGCCCATGTGTCCTTGCCCAAACTATGAAAAAGGTACCAGGGGCATCTCATGGGGCCCCCTACTGACTCGGGCCCTTGGGCAGTGCCCGAGTTTCCAAATGGTCAGTCCGCCCCTGTACAGGAGTAACATCATCACAGCACAGAGCGGGGCCATAAATGTACACTGTATGTCTCAGTGTACATTACCGCTGCCAGGCAGGGAGAAAGATATATGACAGAAGAGACCACTAGGGACTTTTCTACCATAAAAACCCTGCCTGTCAGCAGTTTTAAAAAAATCTGCATTTAATTCTGCTGTAAAGTACAACGTAACACTGACTCTCTAAATACAATCTTATCAATATGCATTCTTAATTTGGGAAAGTCCCTTCTATTGCTTTCGTCTTCCTCCAAATCTCCAAATTAAAAAATGTTCAAACTTCCAAATTCCAAAATTTTTTTTTTGCTGCTGTGGTCTGACTTCATTAGAGGTGTCTCCATTTGTTCCCCATGGTCTCAATGTACAAAAAGGAATGTAGCCACCCTGTTATGTTTTCTCTCAAGATGGACTATGGACTATACACAGAGGTGTCAAACTGGCGACCCTCCAGCTGTTGCGAAACTACAAGTCCCATCATGCCTCTGTCTTTGGGAGTCATGCTTGTAACCGTCAATCTTGCAATGCCTTATGGGACTTGTAGTTTGGCAACAGCTGGAGGGCCTCCAGTTTGACACCCGTGGACTATAGTGTACTTAGAGCAGTGTACATGACTGCAACTAACATGTACTGCTCATTCCAAACAAACGGAGGTGGAATAGGTGAGTAGAATGTTGATATGACAAGGTGTTCTATAATGGATCAGGAGCTTTTGGATCAGGTATTGATGACACCTGCCTCCAGCAATGTTAGATGCATTTGTGTATGATATGATGCCTACTTGATTGGTTCTGTGTATGTCCCACGATAATATTTATTGCAGTAACCATATTTGCAATTATTGCTGGCAAATTTTACTAGCTAAAGAAAACAAACAAAACAAAATAATACAAATATAAACTCTGGACAAAATTTAAGGAAATTTAAAAAAAAAGTCTCCCAGCTGGGGTTTAAAACAAAAAGCAGTTCTGGCTGCAATACATTTCTCCTTTTCAGCCTAGTGCCCCACATTTATTTTTTCCACTACTAGATGTTCTCATTCTTCTGGCATTGGGGGACACAGGGGCCCGAGTGGTTAGCACTTCCACCTAGCAACACTACAGTCATTGGTTTGAATCCCAAACCTGCCTGGAGTTTGCATGTTCTTCCTGTGCCCGTGTAGATTTTCTCTCACACTCCAAAGACATACTGGTAGGTTAATTAGCTTCTGTCTAAATTGGCCCTAGTAAGGTAATGTGAGTCAGAGACCTCAGATTGTAAGTTCCTTGAGGGCAGGGGCTGATGTGAATGTCCAATATATATGTAAATTGATGGAGCTATATAAGTACCTGTAATAAATAAATATATTAATTTGAAAGACCCAGAACATCCTGTGGGTGCCGGATGTTAGGTATCCACCCACCACCACCAGAGAATAGCACTGTATGGTCATTTTAAAAGCTAACATTCCAAAAAAAACTCAAATTAATTTGACTAGATAGGATGTAATTAATGTAATTAAACATAGGGAGTTATTTACTAAACCTGGAGAGTGCAAAGTCTGGTGCAGCTCTGCATAGAAACCAATCAGCTTTCAGGTTTTATTGCCAAAGCTTAACTGATCAAGCTGAAGTTAGAAGCTGATTGGCTCTCATGCACAACTGCACCAGATTCTGAGTGCTCCAATTTTAGTATCTCTCCCCCATAGACTCTCCTGCTTTTGTTGAAGATTGCTATTTCTCCTTTACAGATCTTCTACGTCAGTGTTACCGTTGGAAACTCACCCAAATATTTTCGCTATGACCGGGATACACATAATTTGCTACAATGTGACCAGTGTCCACCAGGGAGTTTTGTTAAACAAGACTGCACGGTTGAGCAGAGAACAGAGTGTGCCCCTTGCCCGTCCAATCACTACGCAGACCAGTGGAACTTTGACAAGGAATGCCAGTTCTGCAGCACCGTGTGTAAGGAACTGCAGTACGTGAAGCAGGAGTGCAACAGCACCAGGAACCGGCATTGTGAGTGCGCTGCAGGACATTTCCTGGATGTGGAGTTCTGCATCTCCCACACGGAGTGTCCTCCTGGATTTGGAGTGCTGCAGCAAGGTAAGCAACAATTCTATATCAACAGCCATGTTCTATCACATTTAGCAAACTGAGTCTAAAGTAACAAAGCAGAATTGCTAAGAGCGACATGAGTACCTAACCTCTTGTGTCTATAGGCTTTTGTTTGAATCAGAGCTGCTCATCTCTCCATACAAGTCAATGTGAACACAAAAACAGCTTAAAGCAGGTTAATGCAGCTTCAAAAGAGGTCAAATACAAGTCCGGAGTAGGTCAAATGCAGGTCTAATACACCCATCAGTGAATTCTGGATGCTTCTCATAAACACAAAATAGGTGAAGAAAGGGACCGCCTATAAGGCTTGGACTTTAAAGGCTTGAATATATACCAAAAGAGTTTTTTTTTATAAAAAAGTACAAACTTTTTATTTTGTCAAAGAATTGTTTTAGCACATAGACATACGATACAATACATCATCCAAAGTCATAGTACAACATCAACATCAGAATATGAATTACATGATAAGGATGTAATATCACTGTTTGTATACATGACTACAGAGATAATATTCTAAATGACCAAACACGTTTCGGAGTGACTTCACTCCTTCCTCAGGGAAAAATGAAGAACTCTGCATATGGGTGACATCATCTACAAGATTGAACATATATTTGTTTGGAACGTTTCTTATATTCATTACCATATTTAACAATTTATAATCTGTAGATACACTTACAATACATGAAAGTGCAGAAAAAATAGTTGAATTATTAAACTCCATTAAAAGACATGGTGCTTCAAAATACCGCCTCATGTGGCTGGAAAACTTCTCATAGACACAAGCTAAAAACCTGTTGACACAAGCACTAAAGCTATCAATATCAAGGTGTATTGTAAGAAGGTGTCCTTATCACTGTTCCTCTGTATACCAGCAGTTTGCAAATGTAGTAAAAGTCAACAACTTACTCCCCCCACCCCTTCTTCCTATGTGAGGGATTCTTACTAGTGACCACAAATGTAAGGAGCATTATTCCCAATGATCATTATGCTAATGTATTGTCAACTATAGATATAATAATTAGTGGCAGGGCTTCCCTGCGACCTGAAAGCTTTTTCAAGGGTTCTCCCGTTTTATGAAATGCTGATCTAGGGGGTCTATTTTTTTTAAAGATTTATACAACTTTAACCCAGGAATGAACCAATTCACCCAGCCCACTAGGGCTTGCTTAAGTTTCCGCAATAAGTTTCCTAACCTTTTTACTACCACATATACACACTTGTTTCCCTTCCATGGCCAGTGATGCAAATAAATTCTCTGACTCCCAACATCCTCACTGCCTCTGTGATCAAGCTCCTTTAGGTGGGGTGAAATGTGTCAGAGAGCATGGCCAGAGCGGTGGCCAAGGCCATCCCATACATCTGACTCCTGGGGTCCGTTGAGCGGTGTCCACTTCCCCATTGAATTGGCTGATGGTAGAATCACTCCTGGATACCTGCTCCCTCCTTTCATTTGCCAATGGCGTGACTCCTTTCCCATTTCCAGCTTGGAGCAGCGCCAAAAGGTATTTCTGTTGTTATTTAACCTTGGAATCACATTTTTCCAGTTGTAACTAATTTGAAAATTGTATGGCTCTTGAGTGAAAGGTATGTAAATCTTGGGTAAAAACATTTATAAATAGACCTCTTTTAAGTGTATGAAGAAGACATTTAAAGTATTTAACAATAAACAGAAAAATAGGAGCGCACATCAAAGCTGCCTGGTTCTAAAACTTCAAAACAGACATCAGCTTTACCTTGTCCAAGACCTAAGGCGGTTAGAGGGGCCCAGTTTGGAAGAAGGCAAAGCATAAGCGTGTTTTGAAGTCGTAGAACCGGATGGCTTTGGTGTGCGCTCATATTTTTCTGTTTATTGTCTATCCGTTCAAGTCAAAATATGTGGAATCACCAGATTGAAAACATTTGAGCTTTGAATAGCACTCCTATCACTGAAAACATTTGAGCTTTGAGTAGCACTCCTATCACTGTATCAGTATATTTACCAAACTGTAAATGTATCCTCTATTCACTTGACCTTTTTACAATGGAGCTATTTTTCCTCTCCCGTTGCTTCAGGTTGCTCGCCAGCCAAAATCTCAACCCCACTCTTATAGTCATTTCTAAAAACCACCTGGACTGCCATAGTGGGGCTAATTTACTAACACTGTAGAGTGCAAAATCTGGTGCAACTCTGCACAGCTGCACCAGATTTTGGTGGAAAGCTCGTTTTAGTAAATCAGCCCTCAGCTGCCCCCCCCCCCCCCCCCACCCCTCTGACAGAAGTTCCCCATACTAGCTGTCAGATTTGAAAACAGGGCCCCACCCACATGGCCGTGTCATTCATTCACAGAGTTCTGTGAGTGAATGAACTGCAAGTCCCGACAGCCTTAGCGGCTGTTGGCTTGTAGTTTTCAATGAACTACCATGGCGCTGTGGAGCCCTGTGGCAGTTCATTCAGTCTTCCTCTCAGTGTATCTGCTTGCTCGTACATCATGTATGGGCATGTAGATATAGTGACAGGTCTGCAGGAGACCTGCATAGCACCAGCGATCTGCTGATTGCTGGTGCATTACTTTACAGGCTCCTGCAGACAAAAATAATAAATGCACATTTCTTTTTCCTCCAAACAAATTGTGCATTATTATTTTTGTGCAAAAGGTGAACTTATCCTTTAACAATGATTTCTTGAATATTCTTTCTTATCAGGTCAGTTCCTTTTCTGCAATAAATTATATTGAAATGTAAACAAAATGTTCTTGTTGACAACTGTAAATACTTTTCACAGTAACATTTCCTGTTCATTAATATTCAATCCTCTAGAAATAGCCAAGTCATTTTCATAAGGGTGAGGCTACTCCACAGATGGCTGTTTATTATTATGGTATTTACCCATGTAGCCCCTCTCCTGGGCCCCCTCCCAGGCTCCCCACCCCAGCTTTCTCACTCCATCCTCCACCCAAACTCTCCTGCTACTGAGTAGGCTCTTAAGGGCTGTCCTGACCCCATGCCAAGCCTCCTGCTTGGGGATTGGTCAGGATCCCCCAAGAATGCAGACCAGCTCCTCTTCACCCCCACCCAATGCATTCTAGAGACTCATCCAAGTCTTCTAGCTCAGGGGGAGGTGTCAGTGAGCTGATCTGAAAAGCCTCTTAGCCCTGACCCAAATTTGACCCTTTGAAAATCCTTCCGGCTGCTACTCAGCCATCTAACTAAAAACATAATTAGCTAGCTCCCCCTAGCTAACTAGGAGTGTGCTACACCTATTTAAATTTGATAAATTTTTAAGGCAAACAAGTTTACAGGGAAAAAAATTTATCTCAGTGGGCAGCTAGTCCAACATTGTGTTCTACTCACCCAACCCTGGACATACACTATAAGGCCCAAAGCATGTAGACATGCCTACAAATTATTGAGTTTGTGTGTTACTAGTAAAGGTACTGTTCTACTAAAGTATACAATACTGTTTGGGGAAAGGTCGTTTGGTTCCAAGATGATAGTGCCCATATGCGCAAAGACAGCTCCATATATAAATGGTTTGACTGGTTTGGTGTTGAGGAACTGGAGTGGCGTGCACAGACCCCTGTCCTCAGCCTTATTGAACACCTTTGGGATGAATTGGAACACTGATTGCAAGCTAGGTCTTCTCATCCAACAACAGTTCCTGACCTCAAAAATGCTTTTTTGAGCTGAATGGGCATAAATTACTACAGACACACTCCAAAATCTTGCGTAAAGCCCTATCCGGAAGAGTAGTAGCTGCTATAGGCATTAAATGGGTAGCAAAATCATGTTAATGTCCATGATTTTTGAATGGGATGTACTGTTAGCTTATATACATATGATTGACATGTGTCATGTTGTTTTGTCACCAGCACAACGGAGATTCTCCAAATGAGTCCAAAGCTTTATTCAGTGATCACATCGTATTTACAGAGGCAATGTTTCGAATCCACGCAATGCCCCTTCATCAGGCATGTGATGTCACATGGTTAATGAAGGGGCCCTGCTTCGCTCCGAAATGTTGATCGCTGAATAAAGCTTTGCACCTATTTGAAGAATCTCTGGTCTGCTGGTGACATTTTTTCCACTTTAAATGTTAATTTCAAACTGTCGGTTGCTGCAGCACCCACTGACATCTAATAGCTATTTCCAGGAACAAGTGCATAGGGAATATTTGTGACAAAAACTTTATATAGTATATAATCAAGGCTGGAATTTTTATTTTTCCTTTATTTTTACACTTCCTGTACTATAGAACAAGAAGCATGCTAGGGCTGCAGAACACTCCCCCTCTCCCCATCTCCATAAAATGTGTGAAAGGCATTCTGTAATCCTATGGAGGGGACTGGACAGGTCTGATAAGACTGCTTGGAATTTTAGTGTCACCTCACTAAAAGAAGGTTGGGGGTCACTTACCAACAGATATTACAAAGCCCTGCAATGTCAATGACTATGTAAAATTATTAAGCTTGGGATAAAAGTTCCTGATAAATCCTCCTCTGCCATTGTGATGATTCCCCTGACTGAAGATGTATCCCTCCAACCCGGTCCAATACATTTCTGCAGAGTAATAAAAATACCCTGTTTACAGACAATTCTTTTCAACCAAAATCTTTCTATATGATTATACACGCATTTGACATATTTTGTATATGTTATTTAACTCGAAGACACTCCCTTGTGTAGACATCCAAAAGCCCTGAGACAGCTGCTGGGCACCCCATCGTGTGCTGAGATGTTAGTAGCTTCTGCAGATTTCAGCAGATTCAGAGTTGTCACTCAAGTGACACTCTATTGCAGCCTTTCTTAATCTTTTTACCCTATTGGAACCCTATAATAATTATCAAGTCAAAGGAATCCCTTGTTAAAATTAATTCATAAAGGGTCAGTGGGAAGAAGGCCCCCTTACATTTATGTCAGGGGGAAGAACACCCCCTTCCTGGCATGCTCAGAATGTCATCCTTAAAAGCTACTAAAAAGATCACATCATGCACTGGCTATTCTTAGTGTCATTAGATCTAGGATTAGGCAGGCACCATCAGATGGGTGTCAATTAGCCACAGCTCCCTAGCTGAGAATAGCTGCTCTATGGTATTCACAGTTGCTTCTCCCCCAGTAGCTAAATATGTGGTTATGTAGGGTGGTTAAGGGAGGGGCCGAGGAGCTGAGCCAGCACAGACAGGAATTAGACACATCCAGAAGAGTTGCTGGCTATGATGTGCAAGGAGGGCATGGGGCTGTGCTAGGGAATTTACTGTTCCAGTCAATATTGTTGAAGTCAAATATTCTAGCAAGTTCAAAGGCACATTGCATGTGAATGAACACAAATGTATGGAAAGGTACATACAGAAAAAAAGTTGGAATGCTTACGAAAGGCACCAGTAAATTAATTAGATAATTGGTTAATTGATACAGCATATTATTTATTGAGTTGATACATTATATTGTAGTGATTTCAGGGGAAGAAAGATTACATTAAAAGGACTGCTTTGAATTGACATTTTTTCTACGTTATTATTTAATGGGCAAAGTGATAGAGTCTCTTTAAACTGGCAGATGGGTAGAGTGCAAACAAGAAGCTAAGAAGGATTTAAAAATCATATTCGCCTAACCTCTTTCCTGTTGAATTGTAAATTCACCATGGCCATATTTGTTTCCAGGGACTCCAGAGAGTGACACCGTTTGTGGTGAATGTCCCAAAGGAATGTTCTCAAATGTAACATCTGCCACAGCTCCATGTAAGAAACAAACCAACTGCAAGAACCTTAGACTCAAAGTGGCTCATAAAGGAAGCTCTACGGAGGACACCGTGTGTGCAGAGGAATCGAGATTCTGTGAGACAGGTAAACAGTCCTCTTTATACGAGGTGGTATCAACAAGTTTTGAGACTAATTTTGTAACACTCCAACAGATGGCAGCACAAGGCTGCATGCACGGTCAGAATAGCACCAGTTGAACAGCTCCCGATGTACACAGGACATCATTCTGTAAGGATTAGTCTGTCTTTTGAATCACTGACTTATTAAGATCGGTGTTCCCTGTGACTGTGCATGCTAGCCTGTGCACCTCTGTTGACGTGTTACAAAACTAGTCTCAAACTTTTTTGATATCACCTCATAGTATAGAATGAGAGTAGGACAAAGTTTAAAGACAACATATTTGTTCTCTACCATCTTTGAATTCCATTGACCAAAGTACCATATATGAACTATCCTAAAAAGTAAAAGTATGAAGCCAGATTATCAAACAGTATATGTCTAGTATACTGGGTAATTAATATATACACTCCACGGCACAACTTTTATACAGAGTTTCAACATCTACACTATAAGATAGGAGTGTGCTTGTCCATATTCTCCAGATCACCACCATCTTTATTTATTTGTATTTTACTATTTTGTAGTTATGTATCAGCTAAAAAAGTGGTGATTAACATTTTTTATATGGGGGGGTTCATAAGTGTGGCCCCCAACATAACCAAAGGGCTGCAAATAAAATAAAGTGAATGTGCAGTCTCAGAGACAGCAGACACAAAACAGTATATAGTCAAAGACTATGGGCATGATATGAGACAAGGTCAAAAACTGAGTTTATGACACAGGAGATGATCAGAGACTGCAGGAATTCCACAAAATACGGTAAGGCACTGTGGGCCTGATAGAAGAGATGGTTAGAAACTACAGACATGATACAAGAGATGATCAGAGACTGCACACATACTGCAGGAGACTGTCAGAGATTGTGAACATGATATAGGAATTGTTTGAGACAAGAAACATCCTTCAAGACACAGTAATAGACATAAATACATTACATGAGACTGACAGATATCACTGCTACTCCATTGAATGTAATAAAAGAATATAGTGCCTTATTCTCTTTAAAACATAATTTATTAAATATAGTAGTACACTCACATGTGTTACAAGTTAAATATGCATTAAAATGTTAAGATTTTAATCCACAGTAAAGTTTTCCAATATTGATGAATACTTGCTATATGTTGCTTTAAGTGTTGTGACGTCAGACCCCCTCCCCTACCCGTTACGACACCGGGTCACATGGCTTCATCAGGGGAAAATTGATCACTACTAAGTTTTTATTTCTGTCTGTGACCCTGTTGCTGCATGATGTAACTCATGGGTGGGCAAATAATTTGACCAAGGGGCCACATGAGAAGCCATGACTGTTGTGAAGGCTTAACAAAATTCTTCTCAATATTAATTTTGGACCTGGGAAGGCCCTAAATACATAAACATATAAAATACAAACACCTGGTACTAAAATTGATAGCTACAACTATTCATGAAATAGGTCTCTTTTTAGATGGGTGGTCAGGGGGTGATAAAAACGGGTAGTTGAGCGGTGGTTTTATTACCCCATGGCCACCCACCCAAACAAAGTTGGACGAGTCTGTTAACTTGGGCTTCAAAGTCTAAGTGGTACAGCTTGTCAAGCTCACCCATTGAGGCAAGTGGAATGCTGACAGTGGGGGCATCAAGGCACTGAGGCAAGTGGAATGCTGACAATGGGGGCATCAAGGCACTGATAGGGACAGCCAAAGGGCCAGATGTGGCCCTGGGGCTACAATTTGCCTAGGTTTGATGTAACCGTTGACCACAGGACAAGTGAGGCTCCAATGGAGCTCAGTATAGCTGTAAAACTAGCTAATCATTCCCTATTCTATTTACAACTACTATATAAAAAAAGTTTTTTGCTTCATATACACTTTAAGATTTAAAAAAGTTAAAAATAATTTAACAACAAAGCTATAATTAAAAGGAAATCATAATGGTTTGGTCAGTCTTATTTTTGTTTTTCTAAATGAAAGTATTATATTTATTTTAAACATTTGTGTTAGGCTGATGTCACCTTGACTATTTTGCTGCTAAAGACAAACCACCAGTAGCAGGATCACTAAAAAGACTTTCTGTTTGCCCCTATGGAATCAATCCCTCTGTAGCCAGATGCAGCGAGACACTGCTTGGCCCTTGCAGGATTATTAGAGGCAGAGTCACTTACTGTATCTGAAATCAGCCTAAATCCTTTTTTAACAAATACAGTCATGGCCGAAATTGTTGGCACCCTTGATATTTTTCCTGAAAATCAAGTATTTCACACAAAAAAGGTATTGCATTAACACATGTTTTGCTATACACATGTTTATTCCCTTTGTATGTATTGGAACAAATATAAAACAGAGGCAGAAAAGCAAATATGACATAATGTCACACAAAACCCCAAAAATGGGCTGGACAAAAGTATTGGCACCCTTAACTTAATATTTGGTTGCACACCCTTTGGAAAACATAACTGAAATCAGTCGCTTCCTATAACCATCAATAAGCTTCTGACACCTCTCATAATTTTGGACCACTCTTCCTTTGCAAACAGCTCCAGGTCTCTCTTATTGGAAGGACACCTTTTCCCAACAGCAATTTTAAGATCTCTCCACAGGTGTTCAATGGGATTTAGATCTGGGCTCATTGCTGGCCACTTCAGAATCTCCAGCGCTTCTTTGCCATCCATTTCTGAGTGCTTTTTGACGTATGTTTGGGTCATTGTCCTGCTGGAAGACCCAGGATCTTGGACGCAAACCCAGCTTTCTGACACTGTGGGCCCTACAGTGCGACCCAAAATCCTTTGGTAATCCTCAGATTTCATGATGCCTTGCACACAGTCAAGGCACCCAGTAAAGGCAGCAAAACAACCCCAAAACATCATTGAACCTGTTTAGGTACTGTGTTTTGTTCTTTGTAGGCCTCATTCCGTTTTCGGTAAAAGTAGAATGATGTGCTTTACCGAAAAGCTCTATCTTGGTCTCATCTGTCCACAAGACGTTTTCCCAGAAGGCTTTTGGCTTACTCAAGTACATTTTGGCAAACTGTAGTCTTGCTTTTTTTTATGTCTCTGTTCAGCAGTGGGGTCCTCCTGGGTCTCCTGCCATAGCGTTTCATTTCATTTAAATGTCGACGGATAGTTCGCGCTGACACTGATGCTCCCTGAGCCTGCAGGACAGCTTGAATGTCTTTGGAACATGTTTTGGGGCTGCTTATCACCATCCGGACTATTCTGCGTTGCAATCTTTCATCAATTTTCCTCATCCGTCCACGACCAGGGAGATTAGCTACAGTGCCATGGGTTGCAAACTTCTTGATAATGTTGCGCACTGTGGACAAAGGCAAATCTAGTTCTCTGGAGATGTTTGTAACCTTGAGATTGTTGATATTTTGCCACAATTTTGGTTCTCAGGTCCTCAGACAGTTCTCGTCTCCTCTTTCTGCAGATGCTTAGTGTGGCACAGACAGACACACAATGCAAAGGTTAAGTGAACGTCTCTCCTTTTTATCTGCTTTCAGGTGTGATTTCTATATTGCCCACACACCTGTTACTTGCCCCAGGTGAGTTTACAGGAGCATCACATGCTTGTAACATTCTTATTTAGTTGTGAAAGGGTGCCAATACTTTTGTCCAGCCCATTTTTGGAGGTTTGTGTGACATTATGTCGAATTTGCTTTCTTTCCTCCCGTTTTGTCCCAATACACACAAAGGGAATAAACATGTGTATAGCAAAACATGTGTTTAATGCAATACGTTTTTCGTGAGAAATACATGATTTCCTGGAGAAATATCAAGGGTGCCAACAATTTCGGCCATGACTGTAAATATCTACTACAGGGTGGATACATGTCACTGTGTTTGCAGAGTGCCTATTACAAAGTCAAGCATACCACATCTGCACAATGTCAGGGTGGGTTTGACACTTTATTCTCTCTCCGCAGATATTAGTCTTTGTGAAGAAGCCTTGTTTCGGTTACCTAAGGCAGCAGCCAACTGGTCGGATTTACTCATTCAGAAATTACCACCAACAGCACTGATGTTACAGCAAATAGAGGCAATTAAACAGAGCTATGACCCCAAGGATCAGCCATTCTATTTGTTTAAGCTGTACAAGAGTCAAATCAAAGGGGACAATTCTTTCAGAAATCTAGTACAAGGTAAGGGATAATTTCCCTTTGCTTATTTGTTAACTCTTATGCCTGCCATACCCTAGATAACTTTATGGTATTTTCAAGCACTTTAATCTAAATTTCAATCACAAAACAAATTCCATTTTCTGGGTCGTCTCCCATCTTCCTTTTCATATCCTGTTTCTTAGTCTTGTTTTCCTTTACTGTTTTTTTTTTACTCTTGCTTTCCTTTGCCCTACCATGTTGTTTACGCTTGTCTTTCTTTGCCCGTCATGTTTCTTAGTCTAACTTTCCCTTTGCCCATTTTATCTTCTTCTGAAAATGCTGCTTATAAACCTTATCTTCCTTTTGCCCGTCCTGCTCCTCTCTCATCATTTTTTGCATATCATGTTAATTAGTCTTGTCTTCCTATGAATAACTTGTATATAAGTCTTGCCTTCTTTTGCAGATCCCGTTTCCTAATCTAGTTTTCCTTTGCTCATCCTATTCTTGTTATTCTTGTCTTCCTTTGCCCGTTGTGTTCCTTAGGCTGGCCATAAACCAGGGGTGTATTTACCACAAGGCAAACAAGGCATTTGCCTAGGGTGGCATTTTTTTCAGGGGGGCAGCAGCATTTTTCAGGGGGGCAGCGCTACCCTCAAAAGAAGGGATGGAAGAAAGGACACATGCAGCATGGGGACCAGGTGGGAACCGAGAGAGCTGCGGGCTGCTTGATTGTGCATGCAGAGCCTGACTCTTGTTCCCAGGGATGTATGAAGCTGTGAAGGTGAGTGTCCTCTCTCTTCATCGGGGTGGGGGTTGCCAGTGTATGGGGGGTGGTGGTAGTGGAAGGCTCTCTCGGGTGTGGGGGGGGGGTTTTGTTGGTCAGTGTCAGGCTCTTATCATGGGGGAGGGGGGTATCTATCAGTGTCAGGGTCACTCCAAGGGGGGGAGCCAATGTTTGTGTTGCCTGGGCAGCATGAAACCTAAATACACCACTGCCATAAACAATACAATTTTCTTACAATTTTCTGTCCAATTTCTGCCCATTTCCTTTAGATTTACCTTTAACTATGTAGTGCAAGGGCCTGCCTAATTGGATATAATTGAAAGTGTTGTTTAGGTTTGACCTCATATTATGTGGTTTTTGTAAATCTAAAGCAAAATTCTCAAGAAAATTGTATAATGTATGGCCAGCCTTAGTCATATTGAATTTTTTTCATATCTTGTTCCTTAGTCTTTGTCTTCTTTTACCCATCCTGCTTTTAGACTTACTTTCCTTAGCACAGTGTTTCTCAACCTTTTTTCAGTAAAGGCAACCTTTAAAATTATGAGCAGTCTTGAGACACCCCATTCTAAAATGTAAAAAGTATTCTAATAGTTTTATATAACGCAGCAAAATCCACACATGGGCACTTAACTGTAGAGGCGATTTATTCGTCCAAATTACATACACTTTTGCACACTGGTCCTGACAGTGTTTCTCTCAGTTTTTTTCCATCACTGAACTAATGTGATCCCAGCACTGATGGAGAGGGGCAGGGGAGGGTCAAACAAGAATGCTTTGCAGGCAACTGACATCCTCCTTATCAACTGATGATGTAATTGGTTGTCAGGACACCGGTGGCTAGAAGGTCGTAATGACGCACAATGAAAAAAGAACCAGCAAACACAAATGCTCCTGCGCTTGGGGATGGACTCGATGCAGGCTACAACCACATTAAGAATGTCCTGGAACATGCACACCTTGCTGCCCTCAAATGGACCGGGGGAATCCAAATATACTGAATGGGGAAAGAACAAAGAGAGGGCGCAAAGGCAAACGACAATATAGTCAAGGAACATCATAAAAGAACAGCTGGGTCAACACCGCGCTCAGTAACAGTCCGCAATAGGGAGTTTAGACATCCAAAAGGCTGGCGCGTTTCGAGGACTTGCCTCTTCCTCAGGCTCTGAGGAAGAGGCAAGTCCTCGAAACGCGTCAGCCTTTTGGATGTCTAAACTCCCTATTGCGGACTGTTACTCAGCGCAGTGTTGACCCAGCTGTTCTTTTATGATGTGCCTTGACTATATTGTCGACGCACAATGAAAACCTGTGGCTTTGTGTAACTAAAAGTCAGGCTTCCACCAGCTGGCTTGTACACAATTTTGGCAACTTTTAGACATTATGCCAAGGCACCCCTGAAGAAACCTCAAGGCACCCCAGGGTGCTTGGACACCATGGTTAAGAAAGGCTGCCTTAGCCCATCATGTTTCTTAGACTTTTCTTTGTTTGCCCGTCCTGCTTCTTAGAAGCTGTCTTCATTTGTCCATCATAATTCTTAGTCTTCTTTTCATTTGTCCACGTCCATCACTTTCCTTTTCCCACTGTCTTTTTCAATTATGTCTTCTTTTGACCAACCTTTTTCTTAGTCTTTTTTTTTTGCCTACCTGAAAAATAAACCTAACCCTCCTGTCTTTTTCATTTGTTGGCTGTGCCTTCCTTCTCCCTATTTTTTATCTCATCTTAAATCACTATTTTATCAATCTGCTTTGTCTTATTCTAATACATCTAATTTCAGGTTTCTCTCACACATCTTATACTCCTGTTCTTTTGTCCTACCACTTTACCTGTTTAACCTTCTATCTAGTGTCAACCGGCCCTTTCTATAAGAAACCATTTACTCACCAAGTACTGTTTGCCATTCTTCTTGCCTACCACAACCGTAACATCTCACCCACTGCTCATTCTGTATCTTTTGTTGACCCATTTATGTATTTCTTCATAGTATATTTATGCATCATTTGCACCTTTCTACAATTACTTCCCTATTCAGTGATTTCTATCCTTTACATCTTCTGTAATTAAAATAATTTATTTAATAATGTTCTGTTTACATGGTCCTTAAGTTCTTTCACAAATTCTATGCTACAATCACCATTTAGTAACATTTGCAGATGTATTCCTTGGCATTTTTTATTTAACACTTCTGCAAGTAAAGTAATTTATGCCTAACCTATCTTCATCTATCTATAATCCTCTTTCATTGCACCTTTCGGCTTGCTTTAGGCTTGCAGGGTGGTTGTGTTCTACCAACTAAGCTGAGTTGTGGGCGGGGCCTACTGTGCCTGTGCGCTAGTAGTACCTTGCCCGTGAGCACGCTTATCAATGTCCTCTACCAGGCAGAAACTGCGGTCATGTGCACAGTCAAGCATTAAGGCAGTCTCCTGACTTACAGACGAGCTGACGTTGCATGTAGAATGATGCCTGATAAAGTGTTGTTCCATTGCTCTACATACTGTGACTTTTATGTGTTGCATTCGGAGTGACAAGTAGAACCACACCACTTACAACAGCCAGTGTAACTGTGCTACCTCACTCCTAGTAAGAGAATGGGACACACTGCGCAGATCTCATACGTGTCCTGTATGAACTCTTCCTCTACTGTACCATACAGTTAGGCTGAGGGCCTCTGTAACGCTGGTCTGCTCCCGGTTGCTATGGGAGATGGACCGCTAGGGAAGGGGGACTAAATAGCATCTCCCACACTAATTGAGGACACCTCACCTTATCCAGATACTAAGTTACTCTTGAGAACGACCTTGCTCTTCTTTAGCATACTGACTTGACACTGGAGATTCTTCATACCCCCTCTAGTGCTATAACAGGCCCAGCCCCGTTATGTACCCCTTTGTGAATAACTTCAGACTAGGCTCAAGGACAAAGTTTACAGTCTTTATTAATTAACTTCAGTGCAAACATGATAAAGTGCAATGATTCCTTCAATCACCCTAACTAACTGTTAGATGGCCCATGTTAGATGGCCCAGGCATACCTTATAGGAAGCAGTTTATTGAGACAGAGTCCATTGATGATGGCATGGTTAATGATTGGTGGCATCCCAGTATCCTCAGTACAAAAGGCAGGCAGCTAGGACTTCTCCTGGAAATGGGTACAACAGCACAATACTGAAAGCTCTCAAAGGGTTCTCAGCAGAAAGCAGGACTCTTGGACCTCAACCTTCCCCCAATTTATATCACAGGTAGGCCAGCTGACACTCCAAAAAGCCTGTGCAATGGGAGCAATGAGATTACCCCTTCCCAAACGAGCCTGGGCCAGATCTTACCTTACTAGTAGTTTCAACCTGCTTACAGGTTTGCCTCCCAGTCATTCGATTAAATATTCAGCATGTAGTACAGGCCAACCCCATAACTAAGAAGGCTTTGAATGTAACTGGGTGAGGTTCCTGAGCTATTTATATGCATACCAAATCCCCCATGATATGTTAGGGCTGTCCCTCCCATTGATTCCCATTTTTCTTGGATTTTTTAAATATTGCTTGTCTTCAGCTAGTCCTCTCAATTACAGAGTCAAACATTCACTATACTACTTAAAGCGGAGCTCCAGTCGATTCTGAAAAAATTAAAGTCAGCAGCTACAAAAACTGTAGTTGCTGACTTTTAAAAAATAGGCACTCACTTGTCTCAGGATCCAGTGATGTGCTCACGGCAGCCGGGTTCACCTGTCGCCCTCGTTCCCCGACATCTTAAGTGTAGGCACCTAGCTGTGACAGCTTGTAGCATACTGTGAAAAAAGTGCTCAAGGATTGTCCAATCTTCAGCTTTTGTGATAAAACTGCCTTACAGTATTTTAGGAACTTGCCTCACGCTTTCTTCACTTGCAGATATTAAAGATTGTGAAATGGGAGTCCTGAAGCAAATTGGACATTTACCATTGAATACAAAACATCTCAATGCATTGATGCAAAATTTGCAAGGGAAGTCAGTAAAAAAGGAGGATATAGAAAACACTCTGAAGTCATGTGACCGACCAAAGCAAATACTGAAGCTCCTTAGCTTGTGGAGAGACAAGAATGGAGGTGACACCACTGAAGGCCTTAAACAGCTGACAACCATCAAGCTGCCTAAAATGTTAAGAAAAGCTATGAAGAAACTGGAGCGGTTTCTAAACAGTGTTTCTATGTACAGACTGTATGACAAGGTAATTCTACAGCTCAATAGCACACAATCACATCTTGGTAAATCGGACTCATTATTA